AATGAGCAGCGACGACGTGGAGTAGGTATCTGTGTATCCATAGGTTATCACGCTATCCACTAGGCTACTGTGGTAGCTCGACAAAATCCGTACTTTAAAATGATTGGTTGACTAAATAACCATGGGCGTCGCAGGGGAGGAGGGCGGGGGCAAGGGGGACGCTTGCCCCCTCTGAAAAAGCCCCAAAAAAGGAGAAAAAAGAGGGGGGGGGGGAAAAAGAAGAAGAAAAAATAAGAAAAAGAGGCGTGGAGTATTGCTGTTAATTTAATGCGTGTGTGAAATTTCCCTGTCCCCCCCCCCCCCGAAAAAATGAAAGATCGCGAATACGTATACGCTGGGAAAGTGCAGGGATTTCGAGGGAAAAAATGTGCTTTGCCTCCCCCTAGAAAAAATCCTGGTGACGCCCATGTAAATCACAACAAAATCTCTTGATATCATTGTTCTGTTTCATGAATAAACACACGGCCCGATCGAAACCATTGAATTATTCATGACTTAGTTTGGAGCAACCCACCTGGGAAAAGAACTTCGCACCCCTGCAAAACAAATCCTGGATCCTCCCCGGACTTCCTTATGCTTTTCAACAGCGCCATCTAGTGACGATTATTTACTATGTCCCAAGATCGGATGGGAATTAGGACCCCTTAAACGTGTCCCTAGCAAGATTCAAATAATTTCATTTTTTTTTACTATATTGAAAAAAATTAAAATTTTCATCAAATTTTGCCAATTTTTTCTTAACGACTCAGAAATGCCTTCTGATGCAAGAAAAACATAATTCAATACTCATAAAACCAATCTTGTCCATATTTGGCCAAAAAAGGGGAGAATTTTCAGACAAATTATAGTTTTGAATGATATTCCCAAGACAATATTGCTTAGAATGTGCAAATACAACGTGTCCCAATAAACACTGTGCATGAAGAAATCGCTGATTTTCTCAAAAGTTGGTCAGACTAGCTAATCAGATTTGATAGCATCTTCAAGCCTATGGTCTTGTTTATAATTGGTGAAAAAAATCAAGAAAATCCAAGTATGCAAACCAGAGATATCATTGATTTGGTAAGGCTATGTATTTTTCGACCTGCACAATGTAATTTCCACACTTAGTATTTGCTTGTATGTACCAATTATTGGGGTATTGGTATGTGTTACGCAGTGCTTGAAATATTGCATGGCCTTTATGTAAAAAGATTTCATTTGTAAATAAATATGTCCAGAAATCGGCAGGGAAGCTCTTCTAAAAAGCAGGCATTAACATGCACCCGATGATCAACTTTAAAATGAAAAGGAAAGGAACATAATAATTCTCACATAACCTTTTTTTTATTTCTTAAATTATGCCACACATTTTATACAATGCTGAAATTGTGCTGTTGTACAAAGCAACACTTAATTGTTTTTTTTTTTTGGAAACAATGATTCTCATGAAACTGTCAGTATTTTCCAAGTTGACTTCTTATTAATTCGGATAATAATTGGTTTGAGACACCACCTACGATACAGTAATGTTTTCCAGAAAATCTGATCTCAAAAGCTGCGTAAATTGAATACAAATAATGACGGCCAACTACTGCAAACTTTGATATTTTCAATCAAAGATGAAAAATGTCGTGAAACAATAGAAGGCTGTTCAATTAAGTTCCCTTCACCTTAAAAGGCACTTCTCTTGGGAATTTATTTCCTGAGAAGGGGCCAGATTTTTGTTTTGAAGAATCACACAATCTTTTCAAGAAATGAAGCAAAGATATTAATTAAGGCATTGTTACTGCAAATACACACCGAAGTCTTAAACATTATCAGCCATAAAAATTAATAAATAGTATTTTTGAATTACGAAAATGAAAACATTGTTAATCACACAACACATAATTAGAACAAAATTCCAAAAACAATCGTTAGAAACTACAGTAAATAAATACTTGACAACTGTCGAAACAAACATACTTGTTTTTTGTTACACACATCCAATATAAACAATTTACAAACATTTTACTCCATTTGTTAGGCTTAATTAGCAACTAAAACAATGATTGAAATTCAATCTCAAACAGATTACAAACCGAAACAATACATCTTTGGTAAAACAAATCTTTGATTTCTTACAAACATGCAACGCAAAGCGGTTTCATCAAGCAAACACGTATTATCAAAAAATAAATTAGAAAACTTCAAACAATTTCTCAACAAAAACTGAATCCCTTATGAAGGCAATTCAGAACAAACAAACAAAGTAAAATAATAACGCATCAATACATAAATGTTATTTGCTAAAATCAATCATATGATAAATAAAGGCCAGTACCTCTTGCAAGAATTTTAAGTTCAATTATTAGCATTAGATGCAACAAGGGTACACAAATGTTTACACTAAATGATCAAACTTACCTGTAATATTTACTTCTGATGGCTTCATAATGTTGTTAATTCCCATAAAATTCTGCTTTGTTTAGTCGTTAAGGGTCCTGCTTCATTCCAGCACAAAATTTCAATCACATAATATTCTTGATCTTACTTTTTTATAAAGTTAATAGTCCTTATCATGATTGAAGGCCATGACGTTTAAACCACTCCTAAATACCAAAATAGTTAACTGAATCCCCCGTCCTAAAATGGCCCAAGTAAATATAATAACACGGTTGTTTGATTATCCATAATTCACAATTGTTTGATCTTTGGAAGAAAAACATTAAACAAAATATTCTACATGACACTTAAGTTAAAGCAAAGGAAGACAAATAGATATCTTTCTTAAAACAACATGATTCACTTTCATGATAGACTGAAGGATGACATCACCATGGCAACAGACCTAAGACTGCATCAACTGCCATCTTTATGCTTCAAACACAGTGGCAAATGTTCTTAGAGTGACTCCCGTGGACCCAAATAAATTTGGTTCTAGACTAATGAACTTTCCAGCATTTAAGTACAATAGCTGTACACGAATGCTCTTTTTCATACAAACTTAATCCACGTAGGAGGAATATTGGTTCTATTCATTGTTTACATAAATGCAGCACAGTTGGGACAAAGGCTCTATGTTTGCTACAACCTGAATTTGTATCAACAGTGTTTGTGCTAAGGAGAGGAGAGTGTACATGTACATGTATACTCAGAATACTTTAATTTGCTGTAATTCTGGAGTATGCAAACAGGCATTTGTCTGGTTCCCTAACAGGATTGAAGGAAAAGCTTCACAATGGTTCAAGGGCTCTGACCATTCTGCAGAAAATTTACATCTTTCATAGATGGAAACAAGATCGAGTCAACATGAGGCTGTCGCAAATACTCTAGGAAACAGTTCACACACACATGCTATTATATTTACATACAAATATTCCACAGCCAGGATTAGTACAAATAATTTAGTATTTTGTTTACTTACAAGTTTAGTATTTTTTACAAAAATCGGGTGACATCTGTACTAGTCACACTACACAATTCTTGCCCCCCGTTACATAAAAGACAGGATACTGGTGGGACTAGATGCCAGTCTATGTTTGAAATTGAAAGCAACTTAAATCATGGTCAACATGGCCATGATGGCGGCTGCACTGTCACTGTACTATGAAAAATGCATAAAATCAATATTTAGTTGCAAAGAAAGCTGAATGTAGTGTTGATGTTAACATTGCACGTACATGTATTTGCTGACAAAATCAATAGAGTACGCTTCAAGCAAAACAATAGTACTGTCGTGTGTAGTGAATACATAAGCAAGAAAGTACTGCAAAGGGATTTACTGTATTTCACAAAAACAAGCTGCATGTCAACAAATGTCAAAAGTACTGTTAAACTGATTAACAAAAACATGTCAACATTTTTGTTGCCTAAGTTGTTCAATAAGTATTTTTGTAACTTTTCCCAAAACTAGGTAGATGTACCGGTACATGTTCATGTACCATCACACAAAATCAAAGGCACAGAGAAGAACGTTTTTAGGTGAAAATAAGATGAATTTGGGGGAAACAATTCCCAATTTTGTACACAGGGTCTTTGATTTAATGTTTTGCTGCCTTTCAATTGGCATATAATTCTTACGTATGTAAATTCCCACTTTTTGACACCTTTTTCTCGTTTTGCACCTTCAACTGCAAAATAAACTGATTTTGTGCAAACGGTGGTCAGGGAAATGGGAATTTCGTATTATAATAAGCAAATACCGGTGTTTGAAAGTTTTTATCATATTAACTTTGCAACAAAAAATGCTGAATGTCATGAACATGTACCGGTACCTGTTAATTATGTTATGCATATTAATGTATCTACATGTACTTACAAACAGCACCAGACTAATTTAATGCATGCATATTCAAGACTTTTACAAAACAGCATAATTCCTAAAACTTTAAGTTATCTAGGTTTAAGTACTGAAATTTCTGTTACAATTAGTTCGGAGGAATTTGGTTTAAACTACACATAGTAATTTTTGGCTTAATAAAGTACCGTACTTCATTTAACCTGTACACTTACCTATGAAGTTTAATTTGGAACACAATCGCAGTACTAATTTACTTTTAAATGCATGCCACATGTGCAGCAGATTCGAACAGCCAACTGATCCCGAAAGCTCGGTGGTCAAGTGGTCAGACGACTGCACTAGAAAGAAGAAGCTCGTTGGTTCGAGTCCAACCAAGTGATTTTTTTTCCAATCATCACTCGGGAGGTAACACACTATACAGTGTTTATACATCGGTAAAGGGCAAAATCTAATTTTGATTTACATCACCCAGACGCAAACTCATCTTATGATTAATTAATTTAATTGCATGTGCTTACAAGTAACATGATTTCATGAACATCACAACAATTAAAACAGTACATATAGTTGAAGCTCTGCAAAAATGAGAGCAGTAATATATCAGCCACTGGCGAGCCAGATTACATAGGACCTTAGCAACACAGAGAGTCAAGTAAACAAGGCATCTGATTGGTCCATCATCACATGGACAATGCTGCAATTTCAAATCGAATGTGAAAACTTAGTGGCACATGTATCCATTACGTGTACGTACATTTGATCACCAGGTTAGTGTGCAATGCTAAACTACACGATTATGTACATTAATTAACACCTCAACCCTGTTGAATCCTACAAAATCCAGCAAACTCTTTGGTCTCGTACAAGTACACAATGTATGTGCATGAAGCTGCTGGGGTATGTAGGATTCAGCAGTTACTAATTGATTCAACAAAAATGACACTGGCCACTCCACATAATTAGCCCTGCTACATGATACTTCAATCAATTACAGCTATGATTATTGTCCGACATGCATGCACAAATGTCCGACATGTGTGCACCTATGTCCAACATGTGTGCACCTATGTCAGACATGCTTGCACCTACCGGTATGTCAGACATGCTTGCACCTATGTCAGACATGCTTGCACCTATGTCGGACATGCTTGCACCTATGTCAGACATGCTTGCACCTATGTCGGACATGCTTGCACCTATGTCGGACATGCTTGCACCTATGTCAGACATGCTTGCACCTATGTCGGACATGCTTGCACCTATGTCAGACATGCTTGCACCTATGTCGGACATGCATGCACCTATGTCGGACATGCTTGCACCTATGTCAGACATGCTTGCACCTTTGTCCGACATGCTTGCACCTGCTTGCACCTATGTCAGACATGCTTGCACCTATGTCAGACATGCAACGTCCAACATACAACGTGGCATTAGAGAGGTCCATAAGTTAACTTTAACTCAAGCTGCCGATGAGTTAAAACAATGAAAGAACTTAATCATTACTCTCAATGCACTCTGAATAGAAAAGAAAAGGAAATCTCATTCAAATAAATACAATAAATTGCGTGAAAGTTGAGCACAGATTTGTAGAAATTAAAGTAAAATTTATATCCTTGAATCTAGTTCTGACGGTAGGTCAAGGTAGTGTGAATATAGTGTCACAATTCAAAAAAGAAAACCTGATAGAGAAATATGAATGAATAACTGAAAGAACATAGCCTCAATGAAGTGAAATCAATCAACTGTCAGCTTCATAACGTTGAAACAAGTACTCTCTTTGCCTTTATTTGCGGCTTATCTGGTACGACTTTTTGTTGCTCGACCAGCTGTCTGTTCCCTTAGGTAAGCCGATGTACATCTTGATGGTCACACAGCCGTGGAAGGTCAACGCCCTCGGCATCGGTCCAAGCACCGTCCACTCATTGGTCAGTGGGTCATACTGCTCAACGCTGTTTGTGGCGATGGTCAGAGCATCTTCTATCGTGCCGACTGTCCACTGCCCGCCTGTGACGTCAATCTTGCGGTTGGTGACTGTCGCTGAGTAGAGCTCCCTCGCGTGACCCTCCGCATGCTGCATCTCACCAATCATCTTGTCCTCGCCCTTGTTGGGGTTATACACTTGAACCTGGTACTCCGTCTTGCCTCCCACTAGATAGATCTTGCTCTTCACGGTTGCTCCGAATCGTGGCTCGAAGGGCAGACTGACATCCTTGATGACAGTCCAGGCGTTCTTGTCAAGGTGGAAGCACTGGACAAGAACCTGACCCTCCTCGCTGAGCCCTCCCACGACGTAGAGACGCCGGCTGTGGGATGTGACAACAGGGTCAAGCACCCCATAGGTCATGGATTCACTCTTCTTCCACTGGTTGGTTTGGCGGCAGTATCTCTCAACCTCCTGGAGAGGTTCGTTAGATTTGTCCACCCGGCCTCCCACCACGTAGATGAGGTCCTGGAGGACCCCGACACCGTGGGAGACACGTGGAAGGTGAATTGAAGCAACTTCAGTCCACTCATCAAAGAGGGAGTTGTACCTCCAAACATTCCCACACAACTGTCCCTCTCTGAAGCGTCCACTGATGACGTACACGTCATTGCTCAATGCCACAACCTTGTACTCGGTGTTGCTCCCCGGAAACGGTTCCAGGGGGAACCACTTTCTGCGGATGTTGTCATAGTAACTGGTATCTGGTATCCACTGCTGGTTCTTATTTCGGCCACCAATGACAAAGGTCACATCAGCGAAGGATTTGCGAGGTCTCATTCGTGGGTCGCTCTTCTGCTTGCCATCTCTGATCAAAATGTGAATGGCTCGTGATTCCAGGATTAGATCCTGGCATCCTTCGCACTCCTTCACTAATGGGTCCTCTGCAACTGCATCTAAGACTTTCGGTGAGGCATAAGGAAGACGGATGCTCTTCAGGGCAAATGGCAGGTGTTCCTTTCTTGCCTCAAAGTCATGCTTGATCCATCTGATGAGGGCTTTGTAAGCCTCCTCTTCACTAAAGAGATTCAAATTATCATCTCCCAGATAATCAACAAGTTCTTGCGGTGACAAATCGAGGAACTCTTCATACTTGATGACCTCCCGAAAGTTCTTCAGGGCAAACTTTGTCGCTACCTTGTGCAGTAGCTCACAGCTTGGGCCACTGGCAGATCGCTGGATGCTAAGACAGTTAGCAGGATCTAGCATTGTCTTCAAAAACTCACTGCATTTGCGAACGGCGGACTCATGTCGGAGGGTACTGGCCAACACAAGGGCTTCCTTTGCATTCTCCTCACAGACCTCAAGCTTGGAGGTGTAAGTATAGTTCACAATCATTCTCATAACTGGTGCACTCACATCTGTTATCTTCACACGACCAGTTTCATCGGCTGTTTGTAGTCTCTCTTCCATCGCAGAGTCAACTGTTGCCAGGACAACTCTGTGACAGGGAAGCTCTTCCTCTCCAGCACATAGCGTGACATCCACAAACCTATTGTCAAATCGCTGATCATTCAGACCCAGGAGAATTTCGTTCACATGGTACGGTTGCTCGAAGGTGTACTCAGCCATGATTTTGGATGAATCAGTGATTGAGTTGCGGCTTCTGTTGTCCTGTCTCTCCAAGAATTCCTGGCAGGCCTGTTCAGCAGAGTGAAGGTAGAAGCACTGAGCTGCTGTCAGTAGGTCCACGACGTTCTCACCACTGATCATGAGCCTGGCTGTATAAATGTAGTCCAGGAGCAGACCCACGACGTCAGGCCTGATATCGTTCAGGGTCATGTCATGCTTGATGATCACCTCCCCTTCTTCCGTGACCTCATCACAGATATTGAGCGCAAAAAAGCGACTGGTGGCTGAGAGGACAACCTTGTGGCAACGGAAGGTCAGGTTGCCCACATAGATTGTGAAGTCTGTGTATTTGTTGGCGTGTCGGAAGCGATTGAGCTTGGTGAGGACATCCGCGGCATAATTGGGATCATCCACCTCCTTCTGATCGTTGATTGAGGATGCCACTGTCCACGTGCTCCCATCGGTTCGGATGCTCTCCCCGATGCTGAAGTCACTCCCGAGTTTGCTCAGGCGATAGAAGGCACTGCTCCTCTTAGCCAGAGAGACGTTGGATCCCCGTGGTTTAGTCGAACCAATGGTGCTCTGACCGTCCTTGATGTTCCCGTTAGCAGGAGGGATGATGTGAAGGTCTTGCGAACCAGTCAGCTGCATCTGCATATCGGTGAAGGGGATGTGATTCTTCTCCGGTATGGGGTTGTTGGAGTAGATATAGTGACTGGCCGGCTCTGGCTCGCTGGCCGACTTGGACTTGCGACAACGGCAACTGTGACAGCAACCCATGGTTAAGCACTAGACGAACCTGTAATACAACATAAAGGAAATGGAACAAATGAATATTTCTCATTCAAAAAGTATGGCATGTACTGTTTGAGAGATACCACGATCTTTGTGAGCACATAGGTAGTAATCTTTGGGAGCATTTCATTGACACCACGTCCCGCCATGCCTTGGTATACGCAGCATGATAGGATGTATCTTTACGACTAGTTTGGTGACAGCCAGAGTCACGCTCAGATAATGTACGCACTCTGGGCTCCTTTGACCAATAGTACGTGGGCGTCGCACCACCACAAAATGGCTTCTAATTTTGTTTGGCAAATTACACTATAAATTCAACAAATTGTCCCTACAGATTAACACAGTCACAATTAGCGGTATCCCTGAAACGGTCCATGCACATAGGTTAATTGTCTCCAGCCCCGTTATATACAAAAAACTGGTCAGGACAGGCTATATATAGCCTGTCCTGACCAGTTTCTTTTATGCAACGACCTTGACACGCTTGCACATCTATGGGTTGTGTGTGTCACATGGTCTTGCTAATTGGCCAATCAGACAACAGGTAAAGAAAATACAGCTCTGTAATAAACCATCCTCATGTCAGTGAGGACAGTCTACCAGTCTAATCACAGCATGATTCTTTAATGTGTGCCACTCCCGGTCCCACTGCATGATCAGCAGACTGCACACGCAGTGCAAAACATAAAATTATGCATTGCGGCAACACATACGTGAATATGATAGCTATACCGGTACATAGGCCCTATCTATTTGTTTATGCAAGAAAACTGTCAGTTGTGCATACATGTACATGTACAAATATACTAGAACATGTACATGTAGATGTACATTTACATGCACACATACTACATGTACCTACAAGGTCATTGCGTTTTACTTACGAGCTTTCATAACAAACACTTGACGCTACTTGTGCTCAGGGAGTAGTCATTAAACAAACAGTAGGGAAGAGCTGGGCCCAAGGATACAGCACTTTTGATGAAAGGATTGAAACACATGTATCTAAAAATATTTAGAATAAACACTCCAGGATACTGAACTGAGCTGTAGGATGGTGCTTGAATGGTTGGGTTTTTAATCTGTGTTTTGTTCTTTGTACATTGGTCCATCTGTTGACATAGTCAGCCAAACTTGCTGTCTGTCCAATGCCTTATTAAGGGTCCTCTTTTGTCATGCATAAGCAAAACTGTACATGTAAAAATGCACTTAAAACTTTGCCACGTTTTAATTTTAGTTTGACATTAAAGTACATATTACATGGTTCACTAAATGAGTTTTACAGAAAAGAATTGTGTGCATGTATGTAATTGTTTTGTTTACACCTGTTTTAGCCCTCAGCTGCTACATGTACAGAGCTATTGACATCAGAAATTCAATGTGAAATATTAAAAGGTCACACGCTTTCAGAATTCCCTCTGAACACTGTGCATGATTGCACCAAATGACTGGATAACATTGCGGGATGAATGTAGGACAAGATTCACATCATGAAGTGTAAATGAAAGAAAGATAAATTTCTGGATATTTGTAAGTTTCTGGGATAAATTATGAATAAAATTAACCCCAGCACCAGCAGCACGACTATAGTAAAAGTCCAAGGATACAATTTCTAGTACATGCAGCATACATTAATGTTTACATTTATGCAAGCCTCAGTTTGTTAGGCTGAAACATGAAAGGTACGTACTCACAACGTAAAACGCTGCTAGCCCGTAACACTATCTTCTATGCACTGAACAAATTGTTATGCTGATTGAAGGCAGGTATAAAACCTAGATGCACAAAACATACATAACATCCACCATTAGTCTTGGAAGTAACCATACATACATGTACATGTACATGTACGGTACATGTCCGTGAACAGGTGCATTTTGTATGACAAGTATAATACATTCACAATTACTAAAGGCAACGCATGCACACAAGCATAGAACGATCATTAATTATTATGATTGATCTGGAGCACAGCCAGGTAAAACTTAAGATCTGTGAGCTAATGTCTGCTGCTGCTCCAACTGCGTGTTTACATCCGTCAGGATGAGTCACTGTGATTGCTGGCATGGTCAGACCCTTGTGTCATTTTCCACATGTAGATCATGATGTCATACATGGTCTGTGTCACGAGTGCATGGTTGTCTAATAATACGGGCACAGCAACAATGAGTTGTTTACATACGGTATGTGTGAAGTTCCATCTGTGTAAAGGTACCTACAATGTATACGCTGACAAATATTCTTCAAGGAAAAAAAACAAACAAATTTAAGAAAAAAACAAAATCAAGACAAAAAATATTTAAGATGCCACACAATTCCCAGGGCAGCATAAATGTCTGTACTGTGTTACTGGATAACTCTAGAGGCTAGCATTTGGTTAGGGTCCAAAGTTTGACATTTTTTCTGTCCCTGTTACCTTGGTACTTTGTAATTTACCATTCACCTGTCCTAAAAAATGACTTCAAACAAATGCTTATAATATTAGGTAAGCTCGCTTCACAATCACTCTTGGACGAAGAATACATTAATTTTAACTCGCTAGGCATTTTAGCTTGAAGCAACCTCAATCCTGCAAAATCCTCAAACTGCCTCCATGTAAAAATGGCATACAGCCTCAATCCGGCAAAATCCTCCGTTATTTCTTGGATGTGGTCCTTGGAGGGGTGACCACTGCCTCAATCCTGCAAAATCCTCCAGCAATCACTATCAACATGTTGAGGCAGAGCCAGTGACATCCTGGAGCAGTGCAGAGGATTTCAATTACAATTGTGGCCCAAATTTATGCACTGAGCATAAACAACACAAGGTCCAGCCCAAGACCTTGATACAGTGCATCCTCCAAAACCATTTTGCAAAGAGGAATTTGGGGGATTTAAGGTAGTTAGGGTAAGGAGTGCATCAGAATTATAAAATCATAGATGTCAGATATAACAGGGACAGGAAAAAAATGATCTCAAATTAATAGAGTTTGACCCATGTAAACTATGAACAAACATCGTGTACGCTGTAGGCCTATGATCCAATATATGAGAAAAACTGTTCATACAGAGACCACAAATCATCCTGCAATGACAACACAGAGAGACATGGAGTATAATCTACAGGCTGCAATTTCACGCTGTTTTGAACAATTACGTGCATGCTGGCAACACAAAAGGATCTGCATGACACGTGCAGCTAGCATACACGCATAAAGTAGATTAGCTGGCATGTGTGACACACGATGAGTGCACTTGGCAATGCTAAGATCTCAGAGTTTCTTTGTCTGCGAAGCTTGCGTTGAGAGCATCAGGAACAAGACATTGTGTAAATTAAAAGGATTAATTTTAGACAACAAATTTGAAAACAATAATTTTAAAAATTGTGAAATAGGCTACAATGCACTTGATGTACATGTATACACTACAATACTGAAATTTGTATCCTTGTGGAGACATTTCTTTGTTCTCGTGTACTAAAGTTTTCGAGTTTGAAAGTACAGTTTCAAAATGCTCTTATTTTAACCAGAATTGATTTCCTTGGTTGAAATTCGGACTTAAAATCCCTTTTCTAAAACTCTACCATTTGCGACATATCAACATACCGGTACCTTGGAAATTCCTAGTTTTTGAGTAAAATCCATATCTATTTCGTGAAAACCTTGTGGAGACATATTCATCTATAGAAGTTGCCCTGTGGAGACGTGTAATTTTGAGTTCCCTGTTGTGTGCATGTCTCCAGAGGGCACAGTGTATCAGTTGTTAAGTACCATGCATTACAAATCAAAACAAATTATGTGTGAATGATCCATGTTGGGGGGGGGGGGCCTTTTTTTACTGCTTAATGAGCAGAAATATATATTCATGTACTTAATTTCAGTTTCAGGGAATTTAGCTTTTTTGTGCGTTTCAGTTTTTTTATTTCCAGACAGACGGAAATCAGAATAAATGGAAGCTTTCCAGTGTCCCCAAATTGTTTGGTGCAAAATTAAAAATTGTGCATTTGTTTTTTTTGTGGTCCACCACACCAGGGCAAGTACCTTAATTTATCAAAGTTAAGTTTCTAAATTGTCACATACTACTGGATGTTTGCAAAAAAAAAGTTGGATTCCTATGGCCAAATGAGGCTGATATTCTCTGTCTTTGATAAGGACGTGTCAGATTGGTTAAGGCAAATCAGCTAGCTGACCACGCTTGGCTTCAACGTTTCTCCAGGGTGCACAAAAATAACACAAACACCTTATACCTCGGCGCCTCGCATGTAGCCAGGATATAGAGTTGTAGCAAACACAGAAGACGCGACTGTGTCCGGTAACGCTCAAATAACCCCTCGGGGTAGACCCCTGGAGTGTCTAATCCCGCACTCCCCACTGCGTTGTGGCGTCGGTGGATATCACAGTATCTTGTCCTGGCTCCGGAGTCCGGCCATGGGGTATACGTGTATGCGTGCTGTTCCTATAACCCACGCACTAAGTGAATTGTCGATTGTTGAAGGAGGGGGCAATGACTTTATTATCGGAGGTGTTTTTCTCCGTGGAGATGAGTTTCGGGATGGACAGTTGAGACGTCCGGCGTCGGAATGGCGAGGGAAGTTGTCTCCGGCCAGACTGAAGCTTGGAGGAATACTACATGTCTGGCCTAGGCATGTCGGCTTGGATAGTGGCCGGGGCTATTAAATGATGGAATAATATGCTTTTCATTCTTGCAGACTCCTGTCCATGAACTTGTTGAAATAAAATTTCAGATTTGATCTCGCTTGGGGTAAATGCAGGTTTTTAACCTTTAAAAAGTTTTCAGTTTAGCCAATAAATAACTTTTTAAGTAAATTCCTTTGAAATCTGCAGGCTTTATAATTTAAGGATCCAGATAGCCAAAAGACAATTCAACAAAACTTTCATACATGAAAGATGCCTCACTGCTACAAAATATTTAAAAAAAAATATTTTTTTTTCAAGAAACAAGTATTACAAAAATGTATCTATCGTGATCTCTCATTGGCTGATTATTAGCAAAATTTGAGCAC